ATAATTAGCCTCTAACACATGGTTAACCATCGACCTCATACGCAAAGGCGTGAACCAATTTAACTAATCATCATAAGAGTTGAATTGAAAGACACACTATATATACCCTACCAAGCTCCAAGTTAAGATCAAACCACAAGTGCACCGGGACAAGAAAAGAAAATCTAGTTAACTGATTCCGAAACCAACATTGCAAATTAAACAAACCAAGAGAATGGATGTTAACCCCTTTAATCACCAAATTATCCATAATAGGGAACTTATTCAACCACAACCTCCAAACAAGAACATTCACCTTTAATGGAATTAGCAGATTGACAGATTCCATCTAGTAGGCGTATCATTAACAATCAACAAATTCTTATTACTGTACTGTCTAGCCGGCCTCATGGAAAAATCTCATGACCCATCCAAAGTCCAGTACCAACGTGAAGAGTAGAAAGATACAACATCCTCAGTAGGATTATGAGATCAGCCCATTGAGTACCCTCACACCCCCCAGCTTACGGGAGAACCATTGCGACCAACCAACTTGTGCTATTTTAGCCTGAATAGTTGTCTTTTTCTTCATTTCTAGATCGTACACTCTTGAGAATTAAACATTAAAAGAGGAATCCCTGAACCAAATATCATCCCAAAATGGAAATAAATCCATCAATATATAATCCATTTTTTACAAGGCGAGAACAATTTGATATCTTTTATCCCTTAAAGTGTAACATGCTTTCAGAATATTAAGCCAAATAATGTTAGACTTAGCCCTTGACATAGACTGTAAAATACAACCATGCTCGCCTTGGATAGACTTGATCACACGAACCTAAAGAGAGTTGGGAAAATTTCAAAACCTACAAATCCATTCGAACAAAAGAGTCTGGTTAAGCGCAAAAATGTTACCAATATTTAAGCCACCATTCATATTTTACTCCTTCACCTTATTCTAACTAATCCAAGTCATTTTATTTTCCTCCAAATCAACACCCCAAAAGAATTTGTTCCTAAAAGATTCAAGTTTATTAACAATGGCCTATATAGATTTGAACAAAGACATGAGATAAGTCAGGATAGAAAGTAGAACCGACTTGATTGACATAATACCACCAAGTAATATGATGTCATCTCTGGAACTATCGATATCATCTGGACTACTTTGATTTTGTTGTTTGATATTATTTTATGGGTGTCTCAGTGGGAAATGTAGAATCAATTTATGTATTCATCTTCTAAAATATCAAAAATCAATTCATAAGTTTGGGTTTTAAATCTAAAGTCAGTTTTCATCTTCATCAGATTTACAAGTTTAAGTTTAAGTTGTACAAAAGGGGGTGAATCTATTGTTTAAGATTCATATAAGTGGGTGGAATTGGGGAGAAAAAAAAGATGGATAGAGTTAGCATTAGGGATAAAAAATACGTACAAATACGAAACCATCAATGGGTTCTTTTGTGGTTGTACTCTTTCATTGACTTCTCAAAAAACAATTAAAATTGGTGGGTTATTTTGCAGGTTTGAGGTGTAATAGATGAAATTGAAATCTCAGATGCCTCGGGCTACTCAATTTTCTCAAGACCAAGCTTTGAAATTTTAGTTTTTTCTCATACAATGAGGATTACTTCTAGTATTCATTAGATTGAAATATCTTTTAGGAGGATTGACATTCTTGATACTCACATCTAGGTCAAAGGATTGGAATTCCTTATCAGTAATTTTATCAGTCACCTTAGACATGCCCCTTTCTATTTGAGCTCTAATCACAAATCCACAATGAAATTAGATTTAGGGCTTGAGTATTGGTGGATTTTTTTGTAGTATTTTGTAGGTTTTAAAGAGGGTGTATATTGGTGTTATTTTCGGTCATGGAAGTGGCGATTTATAGGAACGGAGCTCCAGCAGCCATGACCATGAGAGAGAGAGAGATGGACCCAATATTTATTATTAATAAAACTTTAAATTAAATAGAAAAACATAAAAAAAATGTATCACGAGGACATTTTAGTCTTTTTAATTTTATAAGGAACAAGCAAACTTGCTCAAAGGGACCACTAATCCAAAAGTTTAGTGGTTTGGATATTTTTCCTGAGAAAAATGCATACCAGATAGACCATTTTTACAGTTTTATCTAATAATAACATAAATAATTTTAGGAAATAAATAAAAATATATACTAAAAAAATCCATAGGATGTCACATCAAGGTATACCAATTTGCTTAGAACATCTCTAATGTTATTTAACCATCTCATATTTTAGTTATATTTCATTTTACATCTTAAATATATTTTACTTTTAAATATATATATTTTTTATTTTTATTTCTATTAAATATTTAATGAAATGTCATTTATGAAATATCAAATTATAATGATTATATATTTTTGACAAAATTGCAAAAATGGTCCCTGTGGTATGCAAAATTTTGGGGTTTTAGTCCAAATCCCGAGTTTTTTGGATTTATGGTCCTTTTGGAGTGGTTTGTATGTGGAAATGGTCCCCGGATTTAACTTACGTTAAGTTGTTGCTGTTAACCCCCTCATGTGCCTCTCACATGAGGGTATATTTGTCTTTTCACTTATAAGGGACCATTTTTGCAATTGAAAAAAATATATCTCCATTTTTTTTAAAAAAAAATTAATACTTATTTATTTATTTTAATAGTTAAAAAATAAAGATCTCTCTCTCTCTCTCTCTCTCTCTCTCTCCTAAATGTCATTTAGGATTTGAAGAACAAACTCAGATTGATTTCTTCAACTCCATCTCTCCTTCATCTGTTCTAAAACCAAAAACTCTATAGAAAGAAATTTACAACCTGCAGTTCTGAAGGAGAAACACACACAAGCAAACAATGCTCTTCAATCGTAGCTAAAATCGATGAAAGATTTGGGTTTTTTCAATAAAAAACAGTAAATGTCATCTTCCCCATGTCAAAAAACAAGCAAATGATTTACCAGCAGTCGACTACAATCAAAATTAGGTAAACCATTTTCTACACCTTCTATTACCTCGTGTCTTGACAGAAACAGTCTTAATTTAACACAGTTAACCCAAGACAATCCCAAAGCTGGAAGAACTCGTCTTCCTGATGTATACAAAGACTCCAGATTCCCAACTCAGACACCGATTGAAATATTATTGTCTTCGATTGAGTCAACCATCTGGTTTGTAACCACAATCCCAATCCCACGACGTCTAGTGTGTGAATTTAGAATGGATGAGATCGTAAAGAACAACGAGGACCCTCACTTCAGATATGTTAGATTGTTGTCAAAATCGCTTCTGAATAAAGCAACAATCGAATCAATCACAATCAAATTGATATCTGACCGGGTTTCCATACATGATAATGATAAATATGAGGGAAATAAAAGGAGTTACAGGAGAGAAATAGGGGGATAACATTTGGGCCTGTGTGCTCTGGTTCAACATTCGATTTCCATTGCAAAAACGAAGAAGATTAGATCACATAAAGCTTATGGCTGAGTTATCTGTAAAGTTCTTAGGTGGGATATCGATAGGCATCCTTCTCAAATTGTTACAGAGCATAAGTCTAGTGAATTATAGGTATCCCATTACTGAAACTTTATTGAATTTGATTAAAAAGTTCATAATTTATTGTATTTGCAGGGAAATGATGTTAATGGTGGTTGTAATTCGGGTTTTAACAAGATTATGGATGATGTGGTTTGTGATGAGTCTCTGGCAAAAGCAAACGTAGAAGAAGAAGATACATGATTATTTTTTGGAGAGAGAGAGAGAGAGAGAGAGAGAGAGAGATCTTTTATTTTTTAATTATTAAAATAAATAAATAAGTATTATTTTTTTTTAATGGAGATATATTTTTTTCAATTGCAAAAATGGTCCATTAGAAGTGAAAAGACAAATATACCCTCATGTGGGAGACATATGAGGGGGTTAACAGCAACAACTTAACGGAAGTTAAATTTGGGGACCATTTCCACATACAAACCACTCCAAAAGGACCATGAATCCAAAAAACTCGGGGTTTGGACTAAAACCCCAAAAATTTGCATACCACAGGGACCATTTTTGCAATTTTGTCTATATTTTTTTTCTATCTTTTTTAATGAATATTCTGTAATAGTTTTCCGTATTAATTTTTCTGAACGATATGTTGTAATACATTTCTTTTGAAACTTTGTATTGTAATATTTTTAATAAAATTAAAATACAATATGTGTTTAAAAAAATAATTAAATAAGAGATTTTATAGAACATTTTAGGTAGATATGAATAAATTAGTTAAATTTTTATTAAAAGTGAAAACTATTGGAAGAGATTAACCGTTGGAGTGGTTATTTAATTAGTGGCTAAAGTCATTGGTATTTAATTAGTGGTTATTTAATTAGTGGCTAAAGTTATTGGAGTGATGATGTAGCAATAATTTAAGTTTTATTATAGTTAACTGTTAGAGGTGTTCTATTATGATATGTCACGTAGATGACAAACTACATAACCTTTTTATAATGTGTCTTAATGGCTACAAGGTGATTTTTTTTGAACTACAGAATTTATTACCAACAAAAAACAGAAAGATGTTAGAATATGCAAATTACATAAAACAATTTAATAAAGGAGAATAACACCATTGCGACCAATCTAGAAGTTTGTACTTCGATCTAATATTGATTAAGTTAAAGCTCATAAATTGAATAAAGCAACAATCGACCAATCAGAAACATCACTATCTTAATCAAAGTGTATAATACCATCATACACCACAACAATGAACAAAAATAAATCAACAGTTTAAAATACAGCATCTTTCCAAAGGGGAAGTGATCCTTTCCCCTTTAACAGATGGATTTATTGTTGCAGAATGCATTGAATACGATTAAAAACAAAACTAATTGACTCACCCATTCAATGTAAAGCAAAAGTAAAAGCAAAAAGAAACAAACTAATTAAATAAAAAATTATCATGCCTTCATTAAAAACCTCTTCAATTCTTCCCATATATAAATACATTCACTTGCCAACTCTCTTTCACAATAACAAAAACCCTTTTCGTGGCTCGAACCCAGCACCCTAACCTAAGCCTGAACCGAGTCAGGTTCATGGCTCGAACCCAGTTGGGTCAATGGCTCGAACCATGTGTTAAAATGAGACCCTTTTGTTTGCTAGTGCTGGTTTTTGTGTTACAAGGAGTAAAGTGTTCTCAAAAGCAGCAAAAGCTCTATGATTTCAAAACGAAGCTTCACCAACATTCATCCCATTTTCGTCTTCTTTCATCTTCTTCCGATGTTGTAAAGGTACACATTTTGATGCGTGATGTACAATTTGTTTTGCTTGTGGATTGTGGAAGTCGTCATTTTCTGATTTTTTCTGACAGAGCTCCGGTAGGGTGTTTTACCCAATTGGGTATGGCGGAGACCCGAGTGGCGTGGAGGATAGTACGGAGGCGATTATGGGTGCGGTGGCAGATGCTGCCCTAATTGAAAACGGGCAGCAATTGCTGCCCGGAGTGAAGGATTTGGGTGGCGCCATTGTTGATCTTCAAGGTGGCAGCTTTAAGATCTCTAAACCGGTTGTTCTTCCTCCTAACTCCGGCAATCTTGTGGTAAATTTCCCAAATTGTCCTTTCCTCTTCTTTTAATGTTTTTTTGACTTTCACTTATTTCATGTCTAATTTAGTAAATATGGACTTTATGCATGTCATGTGCACGAAAGTTCTTCTATTTTGAAATATGGCAATATAACATAACCAATCATATTATATGTCAAGCAAAATGTCAAATGATCCTCATTAATAGTCCTACTATTGGATGTCATTATGTGATATGTTTTATAAGAATTATTTATTAACAAAACATTTAAAATTTGTTTGACAAATATAAAAATATTATATTACATGAATTACAGGAGATAAATGAATTCGTTTGTCAAATATAATGGTTAAAAGTATTTAAAACGAATATAAATGAATAAGCGATCTGACTTTTTGTGTTTCATATGTTTCGCATTTTCATGTCTTATTTATTGAAAATAAAACGATTTTGTCACGTAAAATGACCAAAAACTATTTAACATTTCTATGTTAACCCAAAAATAGCAATCAATCCGATAAAAAAGTGTATACTTAAATAATCATAACCATAATGATATGAAAGTGTATATTCTTGTCTCTTATATTATATTATATTATTATTATGTTTACTTTCATATCTATCGATGTCGATTATGTTACTGTTACTTATGCGGTGGAACGACCGGGTTTTTTCACACTTTATTCCGACAAATAGTAGCATGCACAGAGTGCACATTATCAAAAAGTGTTTTTCTTTTGTATTGTAAAAAACAGGTTCGTTATTTTATATTTATACGTATCATCAAAGTATTATTAATACACATTTTTATTATAAAAACCTAAAAAATCCTCTTATATATGACGGATTCCAGTTAACTTTTGTTCTGAATTTATAGTGATCACAAATTATCTTGAAGCTTTTCATATCATCTAGAGATAATTTTATTTTATTTTCAAAGATTATACTAAAAAAATTCAAATGACTCAAAATAAACCAAATATTCAAACCTAAAACTTTACTTTGACAGTTTGATTTGATGTGCGAAATGTAGTACGTGGAGTCCCGTGTTAATTGAATGTAGGGCTCGGATGTTTATGCTTCTAGTTCTAGTCTCTTGACACGTGCCTACGTTATTTTAATCCTCAACAACAATAAATTCTATTTTTTACCCTTGAAGTTTATAAAAACTTATCAATAATCTTTTAATTTAAAAACATTACAATAAGAAACAAATACTAATTTACTAATGTTTCATATATATATATATTTTTACCAAGTTTGGTAAGAAGTTGAGTCTCGCTTTATTAAATTCAGATTTTTTAATATCACATTTGCCTCTGACTCATTTCTAGATCCTCTTAAACGCCTCTCATTCAATCTTTTATGATTTAATTAACAAAGCAAAAAAAAAAATATTTCTCAATAATTAACCAAATTTCACATATTTGCATAATACCACATATTTCTCGATGATCTAATGAGATATCCATTATTCTATATTTAAGACTTCTTTTTATTTTTTTTACACTAGTTTGTTAAATATATTCCGACCTAAAACTACATTATCTTAGTATTAAGCTTTCTTTTATTGTAACATTCGTTAATAAAGTTTTGCACTAAAACAAAAACTTTAATGTTTTACTTAATAAAAATATCATGATTTTATAAAATATTAGCTATTTTAGTACGAAAAACAATTTGCACGGAATAAGAATTTTAAGCAATATAAATTTTAGAATTCAATTTTTTTTCGTAATTCCACATTCTAATCTCATTGCATTAATTGCATTTCGCACTCCATGCCTATTTCGCAATGAATATTGTATTTTTCAGTGGATCACTAATAAATATATGGTCATATTAGAAATAAATAAATATTTTGGGTATTATTTGACAAATAGTTAAGAAAATTGGTTATTTTAGTTTTTTATTTAAAAATAGTATATTCAATTTTCAAGTTAATGACAAAAATACCCTTTGCTTTACAGATACAAGGAGGTACATTACGAGCATTCAACACGTTCCCATCTGACGGGTACCTCATCGAATTACGGTCACCAAATTCCCTTAACCCCGCCAAAACCACCGCCAACAACTCCGGTTCCGGCGACACCTTCTCTGACGCCAAAACCCGAAACGAACCAATCTACTACGAAGACATCACCTTTCGAGACATCCTCTTCGATTCAAGCAACATCGGAGGAGGTCTTCTGGTAATCGACGCAGCAAGAACTCGCATCAACAACTGCTTCTTCCTCCATTTCATCACCCAAGGGATACTAATCGAGAGAGGCCATGAAACCTTCATATCGAGCTCCTTCCTCGGAGAAATCCCGACCATTGGTGGCGATGCACGTGAGAGGAGTTTTCTGGGAACAGCCATTGATCTTGCTAGTAACGATAATGCGATTACAGATGTTGTTATTTTCTCCGCCGCCACCGGGATTGTGGTTAGGGGTCAGGCGAATATGATCACCGGAGTTCATTGTTACAACAAGGCGACGTTTTTTGGGGGAATTGGGATTTTGATTAAAACGGGAGAAATTCGGGTGGATAATTGTTACATGGATTATAACTCGATTGTTGTGGAAGATCCTTTGCAGGTTCATATCAGTAATGGGTTTTTTCTTGGAGGGGGGAATGTTGTTCTGAGATCTGTTAATGGTCGGATATCGGGGCTAAATGTTGTTAACAATATGTTTTCCGGCGACTCCAGGAGTGTTGTGGAGATAGATGGAGTGTTCATGAGTGTGGATCAAGTTGTGGTTGATCGGAATAGTGTGAAGGGTGGGATGAGGTTGAAGTCGACGGTGGGGAAGATGGCGGTGGTTGGAAATGGGAGTCGGTGGACGGCGGACTTCTCGCCGGTGCTGGTTTTTCCGAATAGGATTAGTCATGTTCAGTACTCGATTTTTAATGCAGGGATGGTGGAAGGGATGGGAGGACATGCAGTGAGAAATGTAAGTGAGAATATTGTTGTGGTAGAAAGTGAAAAAGAAATTAATGCTACTGTGTGGTTTATGGTTGACCAAAATTCATGAAGTTTTGTGTTTATTCTTCTTTCTTTACTTTATTTAATTCTTTTATAAAATATATAATAAATTGGTTTTTGATTTTTTATAATTGTCTTTTATATAATATATATAAATTTTTATAATTGTATACTCAGGTATTTGGATATTGGAAAGTCGTATTTTGTAAGTTCCAAAGTATGATAGTTAGTGTTTTTTGAATTTCAATTTTTTTTTCATATGGATTTCAGGACGTCGTACATTTCGTATATATTTTTGTTTTTATTAGAATAATGGTATAACATGTAGATTTAACATAAAAGTGACCATTAAACTTGATTCCATAAAAATTATTCAAATACAAAAGGTCAATACATCGTTTGGTAATTTTCATTGATAGGTAGCGACAAATGATTTACAGTATTAGTTTGGTATGTTGCTCGATGCACGATCCACTACAGATGCCAAATTAAAATTAGCTAGTTGGTAAGTCTCTGACATCTTAAATGATCTAACTTCTAAGTGTCACTATTGCGTGCCCACAAGGTACATTATTTTTTTTTTTGTCATTTCCCACATTTGCAAATCCACCATTTATACAAGTAAATAAAGATTATACAAGGTCGATCTATGAGATGCTAAGGTGGTGTTGTTTTTTTTTTTAAAAAAACTCTTTTTGAGCACTTATATATGTGGACGGGAAGACATTTATGCCTGCATATTCTCAAAGATTATTTGTTTTTAGAAGACCGTATACGTTAAAATGTTTACGTGTCCTCTTCTCAAAAAAAAAAAAAAAAACCCGAAGTCTGCGGGCAGTAAGACATTTCTCGGATACGTCTTTTAGGGAGGAGGGAGTCGTTCCCTCCCAACCCACCGAACCCAATGAACTCACTGCCACATCAGTTTTTCTCTTTGATTTTTCTTCATCTTTCCCACCCCACAACACACGGAAATCATATCTTTCTCAACCCACTCAATTAAAAAAAAATACAAAATAATCAAGGTAAAATCTTAATTAGCAATAGAGTTATCGTCGGTACCACTCCCTCTTTAGCCGGTTGTTTAATTGGTTTCACGAACCCACTTCATCCTCTCTCTCTACTTTCTTTCTCTCATTTTCTCTTGTACCGTGTGTTTTAAGATTTGTACCTTAGTTGTTTAGGGAGGAGGGAGTCGTTCCCTCCCAACCCACTGAACCCACTGTCACATCAATTTTTCTTTTTTATTTTTCTTCATCTTTCCGAACCCACAACACACGAAAATCCTATCTTTTTGAACCCACTCAACCCACTAAATTAAAAAAAAAATACAAAACAACTAAGGTACAAGTTTTAAAACACTTGGTACAAGAGAAAATAAGAAAGAGAAAGTAGAGAGAGATGATGAAGTGGGTTATTGAAACCAATCAACCCACTCGTTGAAGCGGGAGTGGTACCGCCGATAACTCTATTGCTAATTAAGATTTTACATTTGATTGTTTTGTATTTTTTTAATTGAGTGGGTTGAGTGAGTTCAAAAAGATAGGGTTTTCGTGTGTTGTGGGTTCGGAAAGATGAAGAAAAATAAAAGAGAAAATGTGATGTGGCAGTGGGTTCAGTGGGTTGGGAGGGAATGACTCCCTCCTCCCTTAGTATTTTTTTTAATTGAGTAGGTTGAGTGGGTTGAGAAAGATAGGATTTCCGTATGTTGTGGGTTGGGAAAGATGAAGAAAAATCAAAGAGAAAAGCTGATGTGGCAGTGGGTTCATTGGGTTTGGTGGGTTGGAAGGGAACGACTCCCTCCTCCCTTAGGGAGGAGGGAGTGATTCCCTCCCAACCCACTGAACCCACTATCACATCACCTTTTCTCTTTTGTTTTTCTTCATCTATCCGAACCCACAACACATGGAAATCATATCTTTTTGAACCCACTCAACCCACTCAATTAAAAAAAATACAAAACAATCAAATGTAAAATCTTAATTAGCAATAGAGTTATCGGCGGTACCACTCCCGTTTCAACGAGTGAGTTGATTGGTTTCACTAACCCACTTCATCATCTCTCTCTACTTTCTCTTTCTTATTTTCTCTTGTACCATGTGTTTTAAAACTTGTACTTTAGTTGTTTTGTATTTTTTTTAATTGAGTGGGTTGAGTGAGTTCAAAAAGATAAGATTTCTGTGTGTTGTGAGTTCGGAAAGATGAAGAAAACTAAAAAAGAAAAAAATGATGTGACAGTGGGTTCGGTGGATTGGGAGGGAACGACTCCCTCCTCCCTTAGGCAAAAAAAAAATATACTGTATTATTTAAAACAAATATATATACACGTATGTTCTTTTTTTCTTCTATGTTTCCTTTTTCACATTCATCGCTTTTTTTTATCTGATATACTAAATAAAAATAGTAAATAATTTTATTTATCTCTTTATCATAAAACTAAGGCTTTTATATTTGCTAAATCAATTAAATAACCGACTAAATTACTCAATGCCTAAACATTGATTCTTTGATGTTTAGCACATATTTTTATTTATCTAACTATTCGATACAAATAAATAATTCTATTTTCTTGAAACATTTACTTGTTTAAAAAACATGATAGTACAACAGACTGGAAATTTATAGCCCAGTTACGTAATGAAATTGATTAGTTGTTAATGTAAAATATGGAATGAAAGGTTTAAAAAAAATGTTATTGTTGTTATATGAATTATATTTTTGTGTTGTAAAACTATAAATTATTTAAACTACAATGTTGAAAAAATGTTTTAAGTTTAAAAAATCTGTTTATTTATATTTCTATTTATTTTAGCATCTTGCATACGTTAAAAAACAAACAATATTTTTTTTTGCAGTCTGCAAACATTTGGTCCACCTCTTCTTCTGCATATGTTTGCAAATGTGGTCTGCAAACTACATACATTTTACTTCTTAAAAAAAATCACCTTAGTGAATTTGAACTAGTGGATCAACCTTGTAGGGGTCTTTATTTACTCGTTGTACAAATCAAGTTTCTAAACCATAATAACATCTCCTGAAAGGGTGAGTACGTCATTTTCACTGACTTTTAAGTGAGTTTAAACCATTGGATCGACCTTCAAACACCATTTGTGAAGAAATACTCTGACGAGAAGAAGAGAAGAAGATATGTAAAATTAGGTTCGATGCAAACCCTATATTTGAAACTTCATCCTACTAGATAAGATCTGACGTGACTTCCACATTATAATATTGTAATGTTATTTATTTGGTAACGTGCTAGATTAATGGCACCGGTCAATTGATTGACATTGCAATAAAATTGTAAATGCATGTCATAATTGAGAAAAACAAAACACAATGTCAAAATCAAAATTTTGGTTGTAACATCCATAAAAATTCGAGCCAATTTAAACTTTTTCAAACATTTAAAACCATTCAGTTATTACAATTTGTTTTCAAAATAGTTTAAACATCAGAGTTTCCAGAAATCATAATCATCAACCGAGGAAGTGTACGGTCACGCCTTCGCCTTCCCGCGGTCATCCGCTGAACCTGAAACAATAAACTGAAACTGTAAGCTCGAAGGCTTAGTAAGTTACCCCCAAAATACCAACCACATATAACAATAATCATATCATATCAACAAATACAGAACATCCATGTATATCGAGTCTATAGTGTGACTGGTCCACCTGCATCGGGCCTTTAGTCCACCTGGTCCACTCTCTGAGTCTACAGTATGACTGGACCGCCCACACCGAGCCTTCAGTCTATCTGGCCCACTCTCCGAGCCTCGGCACGTCTGGACCGCCCTCTCAGGGCCTTCAGCCTATCCAGACCGCTCGTCGGGCCTTCGGCCTGACTATGTGCCCTCCCGGGTCTGCAGTCTATCCGGTCTGCCCTGGGTATGTTGGCCTACAGCACAAAGCAGGACCCGCCTCAACCCAACCCCAATCAAACAACCATGTGCACATATAACAGATAATCATATAACAGTCCATAGACAAACAAACCGATCTAGCAGATCATACAACATAGCAACATCCTGATGGATTTTGAGCACTACATCATTCCTATGGTGTACATGCAAACCCTAAAGCTTGGATTTAGGTTTCTCTATTATACATGCAATTCATCCAAGACTTATAAACCCTAGATCTAGCATACTAATTTCGAAATTGACATGTAAGAATAGATCTAGATGATTACCTCTTGTAGAATGGCTTGAATCTCTTCAATCTTCTTTCCTTGGAGCTTAGAGTCACAAATGTCACTCCTCTAATGGTTTACAAACACCAAGAGCAAGAGAATGACTAATGAGTAGGAGGAGGAGCACCAAAAACGTCCGAAGGTTCTTTCAAGAGAGTTCGTTACGTTTTTGGGGCCATAGGGATCTTTATATAGTGAGGCTATTAGGGTTATCAAACAAGGAAACCCTAATTTGACTGCTTAGGCTCCAAGCAGCCCATGGACTCCCTTTAGAACACCCCTTGGACGAATTCCTTATGGGCTTCCCAAAGAATTCGTCCAACCTATGTTCCAAGGTGATCCATAGCTCAATTGCAATTATCTTATAATTACAATTCTAGTCCCCTAAGTTTAATTAATCTCTTTTAACCACAAAACTAATTCTTAAATAATTTATGACTAATATTAATTAAACAATATGATTTCTCCTTTAATATATTATTCATATAATATATTAATAAATCATAATTAATCCTCTTTCTCCATAAATCATCCTATGAAGTTGCTTTGGTGAAGGCAACCCAAAAGGACAATGCACAACCGGGTCAAATACTTACCAAATATAGTTACGGGCTTAGACACTAATCCAACAGTCTCCCACTTGGATAAGTCTAGTAACTATAAATGCAAGTATTATCTGATTAGCAATCGTAGCTCTCAAAGACGCTGTCGAACTCTGATCTTATCAGTAACCTGTCCTTTAGATAAGGGATCATATATTCCTCCATTCTAGATATCGTATGAACTGAGACATGGATTTTAATCATACTCTCTGTTCACGTGTTGTTTCCTGATTTGCGATTTATGACGACTGACAAC